CAAGTTTTCCATAACTTCCCCTTTATTCTTTGCACTTTAATCTTCTTACTTGTACAGCACCTATCCCATCAGTCCTTGTGTTATTCTTTTTCCGTACACCTTTATTTTGTTTCATTACCCCATTTGATGATCAAACTGTTCCTCTTCATTTCTTGTATCCTCTTCTTCATTTTCATCCATTATGTATTTCTGTCTTCTGTTACTACCTATTTAACTAATTTAAGTTTGTCTGCATTATCTACACTATCCTAATTATCCATTCCTTACGACGTCATAATCTCTATTACTTACATTTCCTTTTCCGCCCTAAATCTTGCTTTCCTACTTCTGTATCAATTAACACAGAATTGTGTCAATATCCACTTGTGCTTTTTATACAATAATAGTCTTTTAAAACTGAGTTTTCACGTTTATCTAGATTATCTTTCATAATTATCACAACATGAAATGATGTGATAGAAAGTCTAGAATTTTTTTTAGAAGCGTTCAAGCCATTTTGCTGTCGATTGTATATAAGGGACCGAATCTTTGACAGAAACCTCGTTTCAGAAGACGACGAACGTGGCGCCGGTATTTAGCATTTATATACGCGATGTAACCGCGTTACCCAGCTACAGAGTGCACCCCTGATCGATAAGCGTGCATCCCCGGACGAGGAGGCGGAGGTGGAAGAGGAGGAAGAGCAGGAGAAAGAGGAGAGCAGGTCCAAGGCGCGGCGTATTTTTTGCGACGGCCTGATAACCGGTCGCGAGCGCGTTGATAAAACGGCCGCCGGGAAGACAGAAGAGAGTGTGCGGGTGTGCGACGTACCCCGGAGGATTTATTGTCGATTTCACAGAACGTTTCCCGCGCGGCTCGCTCGTCGGGAAAATTTCGACCGACCGGACACGCCGGCCTGTCGATAAGCCGCGCGATGCACCGTTAATCTGCACGCGCGCGCAATTTCCCTACGCTCGCTTGAATGTACTCTTCGAGAAGACCGAGACGCAATTCGCGATCGAAACGTCGCGAAACGCGACGTTCTTGGACACGGAAGAGGAGTCTCGTTTCTCCTTTTGACATTCGGTGCTTGCTCTCAAGCGATCTCAAATTCCTAACCCAACTTGACCTTAGAATCCTAAACATAAATGACCAACTTTCCAAACGTTATAGTTCTTAAAAAATATGTTTTAGATCATTTTTTTCGTATTTCTTTCGTATTTTTATTCTGTCGTTTTATGTGATAAAAAATATGAATGCATATGAGCGATCGGTCATAAGGGACTTAATGTTACTGAATTTAATTCTTCGTTTTTGCATTTTCTTAATCTAAGGATCGAAGATCAGAAATTTAACAATGATAGTATAAAAGCCAAGAAAGTAATAATAGGATGAAAAATTAATTTACTTTTGATTGTGTTCCGGAGATATCACTTTTTTGAAGAAATCGATGATGCAAATTTATACCACACACCCTTATAGAAATATCATACTAAGAATCATTGATAATTACTTATTATCCAGTATTTTTAATACTGAAAATAAGTAATTATCAATGATTCTTAGTATGATATTTCTATAAGGGCAGTATTAACCATCTGTCAGGGCATTCGTTCAGTTATAATTTGTTGAAATAAATTCCCGAATATTGTCACCTTTTTGGTCTGAGATTTCGTCTTAATTCATCAACCAGACGCATTTCGATGGATATTCTAATTTCGCTCGTTCAAATAGTGACCGTCCTTCGATACAGTGCGACGTAGTCTCAACATTAACGTGCTTCGCCTGATAAGACACGGTTCGTCACAGCGGATCCTTTCATCGTCGCAAGCGTCTTCGTTGCACATGAATGACAGCCGCGATCTGTAACGACGTTATTCACATGACGACGAGGACAACGACGACGACGACTAAGTTCCGTTGACGCAACCTCGCAGAAATCGTTTCACGAGTCGTCGACGATTAAATCACGACCTTGCTGGCCGCCAGGGTCCCGCGTTGCTGACATAATGTCGTACGTTCTCAATGACAGTCGGGAATGTGTCGTGACTTAATAGCGGTGATCGCGGCGTGGAACAGGCCGTGTCAATGAGATCACTGCCGTGTATTAAACGTGGCTGTTTGTATATTTGTTCATCGGCGCGCGGCAAAATAAACGAACGGACGATTTGCCAGCCTCCGGCCAGACTCCCGATAAAACCAAGCCGCACTTCCAATTTACGACGATGTTAGGTAGATGCGACAGCGTAGGCTGTCTGCCTTCTATCTATCTCTGTCTTGCCTTTCCTTTCGCCTCATTGCGTTACTTCTTTCAAGGAAAAATATCCAAAAAATAGGAAGTTCGACTATGTGACGTCTGTGTCGGAATGTAAAATTGGACGCGGCCAGGTGGGTCATCGATTCCTTGACGATGAAATCAGGTTCCCGTTTCGTCGTAGGAACCATCGTGATCTCACGTATATATTTTGCGATTTTACATCTCATGTAGAATTCGAGGCAAATTTATCGCGCAGCACGACACGCACGACTCTCTTTTTATTTGTGTTGTTCCAGTCGCGGTGATTTAGTTGAATTAATTGTTGCGCGAAGATGCACTTTTCTCGACACACTTCATTCGGATTCATTAGACAATTTGTATTCAATTTTGTATAAATATATTCGATGTTAACTCGTCAAAAGCAATCGCACACATGTGCGCACGCCTATTAATCAAGAAACTCTCTCGTTTCCGCAACCACGGCATGTTTAATTCCCCCTAATATATTCATTCTCAATTTATTGAGCACCTTGAAGGAGAAAAATAACGAGCCGGATCCCCGTTAGGCTGATCTACGTTAACTTTATATCTACGTTGACTTTAAGTACATTAAATCATGAAATTTGGCAACGTTGAGTCCCTTACGATTGATCAGATTACACTCATATTTTGTATCACGTATAATAATGAAATAGAAATATAAAATAATGCGAAAGAGAGAAATGATTAAAACTTATCTTAAACAACATGTTATATTAAATTTGATATGAAAATTTTAGTATTATTTTCAGTAAATATGGTACTGTATCAGTACAACAATACAAAATTTACATCATTGCGTGATATAAATTCTCTACTTAGGATGATAAAATTTCCCGAGGATCATAAAATAAAATCGACTCGTTTCAAGCGGCAATGTTTCGTGCGCGATAACGCAATACACGATAATATTGGCGTTTCAGGCAAAACGCCACTTTGTTGTCGCAATTATACTTCGTAGTTATAGATCTCACTCATGCGAGAGAACTGGCCAAAGACCAATAGTACTAGATACGTATACGATTACGTCTATAAGTACGGTATTTTAATAAACAGGCTCTTCTTCGCGGGATCTCGCGCGACTCCTTTCTCTCTCTCCTTCTCGCTCTCCTTCGCACTCGCACACACTCCCACGCACTCCTTCGCATTCTCTTACACTCTCTCACTCTCAATACTCCTTCACACTTCCTCGCATTCTCTTCCTCTCTCTCTCTCCTCGCGTTGCTGTACCAAAAAAAATATTCTTTTTTTTCTCTTAAACGTTTTTATTTTTGCCATTTGTTAAGATAGATTACGATACACCTGAGGCGACTGAGAACTATCCACACTTTTAGAAAATTGTTAATCCTATCAACACAGAGGAAGCATTAGTAACGGCAAGAAGCAAACGATTCTTTTGTCTCTCTCCTACGGTATTTTATCACACGCGTCGGATAACCCCGAAAGAACCGGGCTTCACAATCTATTCTTCATTTGTTCTTAATTTATGTCAAGGTCGTCGTGCGCGAAATGATTTGTCCAAGTAAAAAATTGTTCAGTTATCGCAGAAACGATTAAGCGGCTAGTTAATAATGCCGAGGTGGGTGACAACGATATGTCGCATACCGAATTTCGTAATACCTGTTAATTAACTGTTACTAAATTTGCATAATGCCCTAATAGGATTTTCAATTGATCTCCATTTGCGATAACGTAATTAAAGTGGCCTCTATAAATTCCTGGACTCTCGGAGCATCGACTGCCGCGGCAAGACCGGCAGTAATGGCGGCGGCGGCGGCGGCGGCATCGAACATTTAATCATATGCAATCATGCTGGACTCCGATCTCTCACAGGGGTTATTAAATCTCTCTCCCTCTCTCTCTCTCTCTCTCTCTCTCTCTCTCTCTCTCTCTCTCTCTCTCTCTCTCTAGTAAAGTCAACCTTCGTGGGCGGACGCATTATCGTTGTCAGTCATACGTTGGCCTCACTCAACGCGACGCACTCGTGATAAATGTGTACAAAATTATCCACCCTAATCGCCGGTATAAAAATAAAGTGGAGACAAATGCCTCTCGTGTATAATTAGCTTCATGTAATGAGTAAATGAGCGAACTGACGAAACGATCGTTTTCATCAATTAGCTCCAGCATTTTCAGCAATTGACTCTTAGTTTATCGCAGTGTTCCACAATTCCTTTCACATCGATTGATCCAGTTTAAAGATTTTAGATTAGCGTAGCAAATTGAATATTAAATTAATATAAATGCTCTAATATTAATTCAATTAATCTAATTTTGTATTATGATTTTTCGAATTTTATAATTCTTTCTCTACACGGAGGTAATATTGTAATAAGAATTATAATAATAATTGTTATTGTAATAATAATAAAATAATACATAATTTAATAGTAATAACAATAATATGTTTGCTTATACTAATATACATATTTTGACATTGAGAGAAAATTATAAATAAGGAGATACATATTTCCCTAAAACCGTTGCTTTCATGAAAGCGATCGTTTATCCTATTTTTAAACAAAAGAATTTGGATTTAGATATTATTATTAGATGTTATTATGTTATGTGAACAACTGCCATTGGTCGCAAGAGAAACTTCTAGATTATCAATGACTAAGGAGCATCAATAATTGGGTGTTTAATCCTACGTGTCGCGTTTTCAAAAGCAAATACAAGATGTCATCGACGTCACTCGCCGTTTTTCGGAACGAACAGTACTCACTCGCTTTTCAAGACCCGATCAGCGCGTCCAGCAGCTCCGGTTAGTTCTCTGCCAACAAGTTTCATTCGTGCACACGCGACCTGCACGCGTGCACTTCTCTTTCTCGTCTCTTTTTCTCGCCTCGTGTCTTCTTTTTTCCTTCTCTATTTGTCTGTCTCTCCCTCTCTCTCTCTCTCTCTCTCTCTTGGTTACGCTCGTTTGTGGCGCATTCCAGGTGCGACGACGCTTCTATTTCGTGGCGAATTAACCGATTGAGCAGGGTGTAGAGATTCACTCGCTCGTTACTCGCGGAACAACTTGGCGTCGATGTCAACGTCACCGGGACGCGAATCGCCCGTGCGACTCCGAGGTGGCCAGGCGCTTGTCGTTGCCCAGTTTCAGCGACGGCAATCCAATTTGCAACGGATCGATACGACTGCGGCCGCGGAAACGCGTCGGCCGCTGGCGCGTCTGAGAATCCCCCAGTCTCTTTCTTCTTCGGGGGAGGGATGTCGAGTTCCGGCTGGGTCCGCCCGAGACGACTGATCGAATGGACCCGACGTGACTAGGCTCACACAACTCAAGAAGATCAGTCGACGCGGAGGTCGTTCTTGACGCGAAATTCGTTATCTCGGCTTATTTCGTCTCCTCATAATACGACAAGCCGGGAAGGACGATGAAACGCGCAGGAGTTATGGGGGCCGCGTCAAATTTGATCGCGATCAAAGCGCCTTTCACGTCGAGTTTTCAACCCTTTCCGAGGGAGAGACAGCATGAAAGATAGAGAGAAAAAGAAACGTGTTTCCCGAGAGACAGAGGGAGAGAGACGTTCCCTCTTCAGTCGAAGACGATGGAGGAGTATCGGCCGTCGATCGGGTAACTTTTCGATCTCGTTCGCGGGACCTTCTAATCGCAGTCCTGCCAATGTCCCCAACACTTCAGCGCATCAAGCCGTGAAAGATGTGCCCGGAACTCGATCGCGTCGCGCGTTTTTCACCGTTGTCGGCGGAGGTGTCACTGCTGCGACGTGCATCCTCGCGATTTATAAAGGCTCTCGTCTCTCTCTTTCTCTCTCTCTCCCTCTCTCTCTCTCTTTCTTGTCCGGCTCTTTGCACGCCACGGTTGTGTCGGTACGACTCTCGTTATTATTCCCCTGCCAAGTGGCCGTTCCTCCCGCCACGGTGACGTGCAGTCGCCACCCACCGTCGCGCAGCCACCGCCGCGTGTATGTGAACACTGCTTAAAGTCTGAGTCGGACGGTGGGTTTTTGTTCCTACAATTTTTGTAGGTGCTCGCAGCTGGAAAGAGACAAGACGTTCTCTTCGGAGGACGCCCGGGAAAGTTTCGTGATCGCGACGAACAAGTACGCGCGAGTCGAGAATAAAGTCAGACTGAAACTTGCGAAATAAGTGTGTCCATTCTTAGGGGCGCGTCGAAGTGGATAGCGAACTCGAAAAATGTCGATAATGTAGAGATAAACTGTGTGTTTCGGGCATAACGCGCGTGATCCAAGCGACTGGCGAGCCAATAAAAGAAACTGCGACTGTGACATTCATTTTGAGAATCGATTCCATCGACGCCGGTTAACCCTAATTGGAGTTAACTGAATTCGCTCTCTTTCTAGATCGTAGATACGATCTTGACACGGATAGATAGACGTGGCACGCTAAGATTAGAGTTAAACGACGCCGCGGGAGCCGATTGTAAAAAGAGAAAAAAGAAATAACTGAATGTGTCGTACTAAACATCGACGAAGAAAAAGACGATAAATCGTTGCGGTATAAATCCTCTTTTAATGGATTATCAATAAACTAAAGAACTTTGCTAAAAAAAAGAACACAACAAATTTATTATTATATTTTTATTTGTTATTAATATTATTTTAATTAATGTTATTTTATTATTAATGTTAGAAACAACAAATTTTCGAATAGTATATTTCACACAGAAATTCCTGAAATGTATCATATTTCACATATCACATAATCATATATAATATGGTATCAATTATATGCAGAATGTCGATTTATTTCTCGATACCAAACTTTTATAGTAATTTTTGCTCTAAAATTCCCTCCGTATAGATAATCAGTATCAGTATATTTGCCTTCAGAGTGTATAGCCAAGAACGGAACTTGGTTTACAATTATATTCCTTAACCATACTATCCATTTCTTCTGTCTAATTAATCTTCTACCTGTCTAATTAATAATGTCCTTATAGTCACATTACCTCTCTCTAATTGACTCTTTAGTTGACTTTACAATATCATCCTCCTAAATACCCCTACCTAAATATTCTTGTAATCTTCTTTCATAATCTTCTTTTTTTTCACCTAACTTCTACACTATCTCCCTGTCTATCATATCTAATTACATTTTCTCATTACACTCAACGGGTATCATATTGTCATACAAATAATACTCCACATTGGCTGCGTTCAGCAGAGAAAACTGCTTTGCAACTGTTGTAAAATTCGTGAATCTAATTGGAGTATGCTCTTAATTTTGGATAAATTTAAGGGCATGTACCAATCAGATTCACGAATTTTACTACAATTGCAAAGCAGCTTTCTCTGCTGAACGCAGCCAATCTCTCCTTCCCTTCAGCTGTACACATCTATCCCTTTCCTCTTCTTCCGATCTCTTCACTGTTCTCCTTATTTTTTTTTCCTCTTCTTTACTACCAGTTTTCTTCTATTTTTCCGTCCTGAGTCCTGTTTTTTTATTTAATACCTTCTTTCGTTTTCACTTACACATTATTTATGCACTCATTCCTGTATAATTTCTCCTGTCTGACTTCCTATTTATAATTCAATACACTAAAAGCGTTTCAAGCACCACGTTAAAATCAAGTATACACCTGTACACCATCTAACAGGTAAACTTACTTAAAAATTACACTCCGATTTCTTTCTAATTTGGCACAAATGTAGAAGTACAAAAAATATTTAGATTATATTTTTTTATTTTGGCCCACTTTGAATTTCGCAGGCAGTTTATAATTTTTTAATGTTCTCACTCCTACCATCAATAAGTGCAACAAAAATGCATAAGAAATAAAATTGAATATAAAATATAGACGTTTTTGCTGATTATGAAGCCAAATGTGTAAAATTATTTATATAAATAATAAAATGTTTAAACAAAACATAAAAAGTTGAAAAAAATTATTTATATAAATAATTTCTCTCGGTTTGACCGAGATTCGAACCATTTTTGACTAATTTAGTACAAATTTAAAATATTTCGGTAGAAATCTTGGCTAGAGAAATTTAGAATAATTTGTGTCTCAGCTATGCCGATTTTGTTAAAATTTTAATTAAAATTGCCGCATTTCTCTCTCTCTCTCTCTCTCTCGGTTTGGCCGAGATTCGAACCATTTTTTACTAATTTAGCATATATTTAAAATATTTCGGTTGGAATCTCGGCTAAAGAAATTTAGAATGGTTCGTGTCTCAGCTATGCCGATTTTGTTAAAATTATTTAACTATATCTTGTATTCAATTTTATTTCTTATATATTTTTGTTGTACCTATTAATGAGAGGAATGAAAACATTAAAAAACTATAAACTTCCCATGAAACTCAAAATGCGCCAAAATGCGCCAAAATGAAAAATTATGACCTAAATGTTTTTTGTACTTCTACATTAATGCCAAATTAGAAAGAAATCGGAGTGTACCTTTTGGGGTAGGTTTACTTGTAAGTCTCCGTGTAGACGTTTGAATTATTTTGATATGCCGGGGAATAGCAACAAGTTCTCCCACTGATGCGTCCGCGAGTGGAAAATCCTCCAAAAAGAGCGAATCTCTCTCATCTTAAAAGAAAGAAAACAACGCGAGGCAATTGTGCGTCGCGTGGATTATCCGAGAAGTAGCGACGGATTTTTCCCACGAACCTGAGAGCTTTTTACCGCGAGTGAGAAAAAGTGACCGATGAAAGTTTTAAACTGTTTGTTTTAACTTTTTCTCTACGAGCTCGTTAATCTCCGGGGTAACGCGTTCGGCGACCTAATTTTGCAATGAAAAATTTTTTTATCGCGAAACAAGACGGCGTATGAAAGTTCAATTGTTTCGTCGAGGATCGCTCACGAGCGCTCGCAGCATACACGTGGCATTTTAATTAGATGCTTAATTGCGACTCGTTTAGCTCGTATTATTATTAATCTTAAATAAGTAGGAGTCGCGCGGTCAGTTTTACCGGCCCGTCGTGTTTCGCTTTATCTGCAAGTAAATAATTCAATTCCGCTGGACCATATTCGCGTCTAGCTAGAAACGCGAACGTCCACTTCTCCGCCGCGTTTACATTAAACGGTCTCTTTCTGGGCAAACAATGAGGCCCGTGAAGCGCACAGTCGCGTCATATCCACCAAGTGGACGAGAACACGGTCCATCGCGCTCAACTTTCCGCGTGCAACTTCTATTTCGCACCGTCGAAATTATGTTGATGTCCGTTTGCCCGTCCGAGAGCACGCTTATTTCTGCCGGAAGGAGTTGGTCGGCGTTCCGCGGTTTCCTCTCGTGTGTCACTTTGCGTGGGAAAGCGATAACTGATAAGTGTCTGCCGAAAGTCTGTCGTAAACCACTCTCCGCTGATTATTGTTGGATCCAAAAATAGTCCAACTTGCAATTGCCGTTAAAAGCCGATCCGTAGCTTCCCTTTCTCTCTTATTGAGATACAAAATAAATTTCCCAGTAATTGAACCTAATGATTGAAACATTAATAATATATTTCTCAGAAGGCCTTTAACATTTTATTAAATAATATTGCTTTATATATATGACAATTAGTATTATTAACGAGCATCCAATCATTGAGTCTGTATTATTGAGAAAATAATACATGATTAATTTTTCAATTCAATTGTCGATACAGCCAGCGCATTGTCTAATATCCCATTAAAATTATAATTAATATTTATCGATTATTATTGATTAAATTACTTGGCGTTGCCCGAGCTTCCGATAATAACCTTATATGTATCCTATTATCATTTTACTACAGAGAATATGGTCGGGGTAAAAAATAACTGTAATTTTAGTTAGATCAACCATTTTTTTTCCTCAGTGTGGAGAATAATTATACAAAAGTTGACTTACATCGGTCAAAAGATTTACGAGTTTATAAGAAACATACATATGGACAGACTTTTTATTTAATATTTTTATTCATTATTTATTATTCATTATTCATTATTCATTTATTTTATTCATTTATTCATTTATTCATTTATTCATTTATTTTATTCATTTATTTTATTCATTATTTTATTTCCTATTGTGGGTTTTAGAATTAGATAAACGTGACGTTGCAACGTTACTTTGGACGTTCGATCGTTTTAATTGCGAGCGTCAATCTCGTCGGGGGAACGAAATATTGAGAATGAATGCCAGTTGACACGTGTCAGTCACGCGCCTGCTTCGCGGTTCATTAATCAACGTTTAATCGATTCTTTGTTTCTATGTTTGCTCCGGCATTTGCGCTCGTACACTGGAAATCCAAGTGTTTGGTTGAATCTCCTTCTATGCGTTCCTCATTGTGAGCGCCCAGAGCGCTCTCTCTCTCTCTCTCTCTTTCAACGGTTCATTATCGCTTTTCCGACTTCACGGCTTCCTACGGGAGCTCACCGCGATTCTCTATTTCGCAACGCGACAGTTTCGGAGAAGACCGAGGCCGATATAATGCGTACATCGCCTGACGTGTTTCAGAACCCTAACAATGGCGACGATAACGTGTCCAGATACCAGGGAGATACACTGTATATTCGCGCGGGCACACCGTCATCGCGAATGCACGGCGAGCGTTAACGCGAGCACGTCGCCACGTTAAATTTGCACGTGCGCGCGTCCGCGAGTACCGTGCATTAACGATCGCGCCGGCCACGTGAATGAAAACGAGTGTGTCGCCAACGAACGCCGACGGTTTGCAGTGCGCGTTAAATGAATTAATTAAGCCGTTTGTTAACGGAATAATTCACGGGTTATCTCGCGAGTGCCGTCGCGATGCTCGCCGTCAAAGTCGAACTG